ATATATATATATATATATATATATATATATATATATATATATATATATATATATATATATATATATATATATATATATATATATATATATATATATATATATATATATATATATATATATATATATATATATATATATATATATATATATATATATATATATATATATATATATATATATATATATATATATATATATATATATATATATATATATATATATATATATATATATATATATATATATATATATATATATATATATATATATATATATATATATATATATATATATATATATATATATATATATATATATATATATATATATATATATATATATATATATATATCTTAAACTTGATTTTTATTTTATTTTAAATGCAAATGAAATACAAAAATGCTTCTTAAAATAATGTGAAAAATGCATATGTATATGTCATTCCCTTGAAGTTTTTTTTTTTAATTTATCATTTAAATATGCATGCACAAAAAATGAATCACGATAATGTCACTTGAGAAATAATTCAAAGATTAAAGCGTAAGTATATCTTAATGGCACTAAAAGAAACAGAAACATTAAAACTCCAATAGTTCATAAAATGAAATAAAATATGGTATGAGATGCAAATCTTCTAAAATGACCTTCTTTCTTTAAGAAAAGATCAAAAATATTGATACTTGGCTCTTAAGAAAACAAACACTTATTTTTCAACAAAATAAAATGATATCAACAAAATAAACTACCTCATTTGCATATTTCCAAAATAAAATGATATCAACAAAATAAACTACCTCATTTGCATATTTCAAATAAAATTAAAAAATTTTGCAATTCTCGGAATCAAATTCACATATTGATAAATAAGTTTGACTATTTTTACCGCATTTTTTTTATAATATATAAATGTGATTTACTTTTACCATGATTCTTATGTATAAATGTTAATAAACCTGGGTTTTATGAATTATGAGTCAGAAGAATTATAATTTATCAAGTAAGTTAGAATTTTAACCATTTTTCTAAGTCAGTAAGTTAGAAGAATTTCAACAACTTTTAATAAACATTACATGATAAGTCATTTATAAATCAGTCTCACAATAAATCATGCACATTTGTCATTCAATAATAAGATTAAAATAGAAGAACCATTCCGTATATCTGAATGCCGAAATGTCAAAATGTCAAATACAAAATTTCAAAATATCATAATCAATCCTACAACAAACCATAATATGAAATATCAAAATATACAATATAAAAGACAACTAATGTGTATATTTGAATCTCGGGTTCCTCCCATGTTGCTTATACTACAAAGCATGACATGTCTCTACTAAGATGACCTATAGAATGGTCATCTAAGGAATATATCCCTCAAACTTCTCCTAACTATGGCCTCTCTTAATAGGCACAATAAAATGACATATCGTTAACACGTCAACGAAATGGTTCACCCTTACTTGCTCTTCCTCTAAGATCTCATGATGAGATGACTTCGGGGAATTTTCTTTTGCATTTGGCGTCATGTAAAAATATGGCACTTTATAAAATCATTGGATGTAGTCGTATATCGTACTCTGTGGACAAAGAGATGACACACAATGTATATTCTCTAGGATCAGATGATAATAGTACGCTACAAAAATCTCATCAACACATTTGCAAAGAATATTGGCAAGAGCATCAACTTTAGAGTCTCTAGATATACCCTGCATATATCTAAACTAATGTACGACTCGCTATGGTAGATGGAATGTATAAGTGAAAACCCGTAGACCAATCATTCAGAGTATAAGGCTATCACATATAAGAGTTATGTCTCACGATGATTGACGTACGGCATTAAAAAAAATATCATTTGGCACGATGCGGTCAAGAGTAACTCAGAATGACTTGGTCGCCTGATTCTTTTTGAGCAGGATGATAAAGCACGTACGTAACAAAGCCTCGTATTATTCTTACACATATACTCATTCAGCGAGACGGAGAAAATATTAGTCGATCCATACTTGAAAATGGTCTAGATAAAATATTAGTAACAATGTAACATATGTATTATGTAGTTAATATCAATAAAGGTACAAAAAATTATTGTAAATAGACAATTTTTTTTGTCAAATGTCGAGTCTTCCATAAACTACCCTCAGCTAATATGGAGTAGAGGTACATCAAACAAGAAATTCTCCAATTATACTCGTGAATCTTGTCCAACTCAATGAAATATCTAAGATAGATAATGTTGACATAAGTCGCACTTTTGTCTAAAAAAATGAATTTGTCTACCAAAACCAAGAGGTATGACCTCAATGCACAGTTCTATGGTATGCAACATGTGAATCATCACCAATAACATCCACATCTACAGTCAGATGATGTTCATACATATCCCTAGAAATGAAAACCTAACATGACATCATCTGGTATCATCTATCTCTAGTTGGATTTTTCCCGAGTAAGCTACCAAATAAGCCAGCATCATGTCTATTGCATCGGATTTAGTGATTCTTGAATAATTTAATAACTTTCTCATGATCGAAAGATGTAGTAGGCATGATACATCGTCAAGTGTGAGGGATTTTAGAGCAACAAGAGACACGTGAATTTGAAAAGATGATTTTTGGGACACATAAACATGAAAAGACGATCCCTTCACCACCAAACGAAGTCTCTCCAACTACATATCGTGAGAGTATAGCTTTCTCCCTACGAACGGAAGTATATTGGACTACTATACCATGTCTCATCTTTCTAAGTAGACATTTGTTTTATACAATCAAACAAGCACAAAGACATGTTATAACACAATACGGATACAAAAACAACGAAGCAGAACAATCACATAAACAAACCAATCCAAAATATATATAATACGTAATTTCATATTTTGTTTTTTGGACTAAGGGTCCGAATTTCAAAATCTGAATTGCACTGAACTAAAAACATGAAGCAGAAATAAAACATGCATGAACTCTAAGCTCTAATATTCAAATTTTAAAAATAAGGTTGTTGAAGAGACAAACAAAAATAACAAATTTATTGTATTTAAGCTTAATGTTGAATATCTATAAACTGAAATTAAAAAAGAAAAGAAAATAAATAACTTACCAATGTAATGTTATAGAAATACGTGCAATGCATTAGAGTAGAGACATGATAAACTATGAAAATATTTGAAAAATGAGAGAATAAACTCTGTGAATACAAATCATTAGAAACTCCCGGGTACTCTAATTTGGCTCTGTTTGCATAATTGAAAAATGAAAAGAGAGAAAGACACGAATACTTAAAGCAACTTTAGTGCAGGGTTGTTAAACCAAAATTTTATATAGTTTAAGTTAGTAATAAGGAATTTGTATTATAGTAGAGCTGACATGCCATCTAAGTGAACTAAAATTTAGAGCTTAACTATGTGAAATATATTATAATATTATTTATTTAATTAATTAAATATTCTAATAGCATTAAAGTAAAGACATGATATTTGAAAATAGTGGGGTCAAGTTTTGGTTTCTTATAGACAATCATCATTAAAGTAAGAGTAATGTTAACTTGTGCCCTTGAGGCACATGTTAAGAAAACCACTTATAGTAAATTTGCATTGGAAAAAACGATTTAAAAATTAATTTTATACTTTAATTAAAGTTTATATACAATTTCCAAGAAAATGTTTCTTAATTTAGTTCTTAACATGTGCCCCAAGAGCACAAGTTAACATTTTCCAAAGTAAAAACTACTCAAATCAATTATAAATTTTTTAAATCCTATAGAACACTTTAGACCCACAAAAAATATCTTAGTTTACCCATTTAATTTACTTTCATTAAAGATGCTCTTAAGAGAATACTTAAGCCAAATTCCAATCTCCGTGAAAATTTCGAACATTGAAATCTGCAGCATTTTTAACTATCCAAATTCCAATCTCACATTGAAATCTGCAGCATTTTTAACTATCCAAATTCCAATCTCTGAAAATTTCGCACATTAAAATCTGCAGCATTTTTAAATTGTGTAGTTTTGAAATTAGACATAGATGTGATGTGTTACACTCATCTAGAGTTCAATCTTTATAATTCTATACGAATTTTTTTATAATTCTATACGGTTTTTAAAGTCCAAATATTTTTTCAACTCTAGTATGGTGTATTCCAAAGCACTAACAGCATCCGAATTTGAGTTATTTTTTGAATTCTGCAAGATTGTAAAATCAAGGTGTTGTCTTAACTCAAATTCTTAAATTATTTAATCGTGCATGGACGAAACTGGTCACTTTTTCATATGCGAAAAATCCATTGCATAATCATTATGCAAAGGTTGAAAAGTTAAAAGGGACTGCGCAAATGAATTTTGAATCATGATATCTTTTTTACTGTAAGCTAGGAGTTGTATTAATGTGATTTCCCTAACTTTAATCATTGATAAAAATACAGTTTTTATTGATACATAATACATTCAAATAAAGTTCAATTATCAATCACTATACAGGCAGATAACATACAACTTAAAAAGCAAATGGCAAGTTCTTTCTCTAGTTGAAACTTGCAATACAATTATGCCTACCACCAAGGCACTTTTCTGGAGTGATAAATGGCCACTTTAAGGTGTTTAACCTCTCCTATATTACCTTGTTTTTACATTACACATCTATAACAAAATTTCATGTACAAATATTAGCTGCAGCTACAACTATAATCTAACTAAATACTTCCCCTAAAATCATCAAAATAATTTCCTTCCGTAAAGGAATCAGAAAATGAGACTTCTGAATCAATAACTTGCACGCACTGACAGGTAGCATTTAGCACCTCATAGATTACTAGTTATGCTAACGGACCTCAATACTCCAAGACCCACAAACCAGACTTAATTCTCAACAAAAAAAAAACAAGTTTCTTGGAAATATTAGGCAGCCCTGATCAATTACATCGGAAAATCTGTAGACGGATATTTGTTACCACTTACTGTTGCTGACGAAAGCGTGAATGGCATCATGCAGAAGTTTATACACCATAACGTTTCAAAGCACTGCTTAATCCTGGCATCACATTATATGCTTGATATGATCTTCTAAGTTCAATAATGGAACCAACCTGGACAAATAAAACCAAGGGATACTCAGTGAAACTGTATTAAACAAAACACTTGATAGTGTGAGATGAAAGAAAGTTCATTCCAAATGTATATAATATTATATATACTATTCGCACCAAACCCATTATTTTCTGTAGAGGGGAAATAGTTAAAAAAATCCTCTTAATAACCAATAGCAAATCATCTATATAACAGAAACCCTAACTGCACTCACAATAATTAGAATTGATGTAAAACCAATAGCAAATCCAGCATTTGTACGCCGTAAATAGTGATCAAGAACACTTGAAGTAGTGGCCAAAACACTTAACAGTAGGCCCCCTGCAAAATTTTCATTAGGTAGCAGATGAAAATCACATAACAGGAAAATATTATATTCACTAAATATTAGGAGACTAAAACTGAAGCCATCAGCCATACAGACCCCAAAATCGTGTGGATGCCTGAACCTTAGAGAGGTATTCTATCGTAGCCTTCCCAGGCTTAACATTAGGTATCCTTGCACCCATCTTATTCAAGTAATCGGCAATTTCCTTTGGCAAGTTAGCCTGTGCAAAATCCACATATAAAAAGCCTTTTACGATATAAATATAAGTAGGTATGAATTACTGATATTTTAACAAAGTACTGAAATGACTTGGAGCTGCATCAAACTATGAATTCAAGATAATTACAAATATGAAACATGTATTTTTAATTGTGCTGAAAATTAACAACCAGGATAAGCAGCTCAAAATTCAGATCATTGCAATAAGTAACAAATTTGGCATCTTTTTTCATAATCCTAAATTGGCATCTAATTCAACCTACAATAGTATCAGAGAAACAAACGGCTTGGCTACATACATACAATGGTTTAGAGTTCAGGTTTACTTGCCAGTTAAATTATACTCTGCAAATTTTAGTTCAAGTTTTGCATACTTAAAAATCAAGTGTCTTTGTAACTAGAATTTGAAATAATGTGCTACATCAGGAACATTTTGGGATATCATGCAAACTTTGGTAAAACTCGTATTAGTATCTGCTTCACTGTTTACATTTCAGACTGGAGCCTTTTTCAGACCAAGTGTTACAGCAGTTTCAGGTTTTATCAATCTACTATCTTTTTCATATACTTTTGTGAAAACCAATAACTTATACCAATATGAAACTAAATAAAGCAAACTACAAACTCTTTATATCAAGTACAATGTTCAGTCATATAATGGTTGGCAAAAGAAACTTACAATGTCAAATATATTGAAAAGGAAGACAAAGAAGGCATATATAGAATAGTAGACCCACGGTTCAGCGCCAACAGAAGAGTCGGGATTCAACATTTCCTTCACCCGCTCCCAAAAAGGTGACCGGAGCAAACTGAGAATCAATATCAATTTTAGAAATTGCACTTCAGATTAAAGCAGTAAAGGAAACTTCATTTTTTAACAGCACCAGACTAGCAACAGAAAAACATGTTTCCAGTAAGCAAAGAGTGGAAGTTGAAATGCAAAATGAAACGTACAAACCTAGCGACAATGCTTGGAAAGGCCAAGAGGTAAGAGGTGGTAAGAACAGGTTGCATCCCTGCTGGATTAATATTGAAAGGAATATAGGGCTCCACTTCAGTTATAGGCGATTGCTCCCTGTTTCAAATTGCGAGGCAAGAAAGTCTCTATTATCGGACTCAGTACACTCAAGATTAAAATTTAATTCCATCAGAAAGAGATATAAATTGTCTGTCATGATAAACAAGGACAGTGAATTCTATTGAACATATGAGCCAAGTAGAATATAAGTTAATATTGTAGCCAAAGAAGGCGCACATGAAAACAGAATCTACAATTGTCTGAAGTATAGATCAACTTTCCTCATGAACCAACTTGTCAGAAGACATAAGTAAAAGAATTTATGGGCGAGAGAATATCATAACTCCAGTAACATCTACACTTTCAATGAGGATAACAAGTTTCAACTGTCTGGACAACTTCAATGGCATTACCTTGCAGCAGAAGCAAGTTTAAAACCATAGTACTGAAGCTTTACTTTCCTGCAACCTTCAGTAACTACAACTGCCCACATAGTGACTATGGTGAAGAGTCCCAATACTGCAAGCACATATGGCCACCAACCAACAGCACTCGCTGAAATATCAGAAAAAATGAATTAATACAGTCGAATGAATCGATAATATAAATATAATAGTATAACTTTGGATATTTAGACCTGATTATAGTTGTATATCATCCTTGTAAGTTGTAACATTTTGACCTGATTTTCTATAAATGGCTTGGTTCTTATTTGGTAAGAGATATAACTGACATTGAATGAACGAATGGGTAAAAGTGGGCATAATACCTGGTCTCTCATACTGATACAAACGTCCTATGGTTCCTTCAAATCCTCCACCGTAAAGATGTGATCTTAAGTTGTGGGGATTTTTTCGATATGATCTTTAGTTGTAGGGATTTTTTCAATGTGTCACTGATAAGGTCAAGAGAGTGTATAAGTTATAATCTCATTCTAGCTATGAGGCAATTGGGATACCCTTTAGACTATGAACCTGAAAATAAGTTATTGGAGGGTTTCATTTTACAAGTAGTGACCGCGAATAATCTTGCTGCTCTTAAAAATTCATGCTTGGAGGCAGCTCATCAAAGGAAATAGTAGCCTTAAAAGACCTAGGGAGGAATCCATAATACCCTACGCGCAATGGATGAGGGAAAGGGTAAGTATAGTAAAGTTACCATTCGCTTTGGATCATCATGTGGAATAAGGGCTCCCACACCAGTTGTGATCTCCATGGAAGAGGGAGAAAATCTCAAGTACACCATTCGAAGTTGTAGGATGGTGTCCTTGATATTTTCTCCCTCTTCCATGGAGATCACAGGTAACTTTACTATACTTACCCTTTCCCTCATCCATTGGCCGTAGGGTGTTATGGATTCCTCCCTAGGTCTTTTAAGACTACTCTTTCTTTTGATGAGTTGCCTCCAAGCATGAACAATTCTAAGAACAGCAGGATTATTCGGGGTCACTTCTTGCAAGATGAGACTCTCCAATAACTTATCATCAGGTTTATAGGCTAAAGGGTGTCTCAATTGCCTCAAAGCTAGAATGGGATTATAACTTATACACCCTCTTGACCCTATCAGTGGCACATTGAAAAAGTCCCCACAACTTAAGACCACATCTTAACGGTGGAGGATTTGAGCGAACCATAAGATGTCTGTATCAGTACGGGAGACCAAGTATTGGGCCCACTTGTACCCATTCATTCGTTCAATGTCAGTTATATCTCTTGCCAAATGAAAACCAAGTCATTTAGAAACTAAGCTTAGATCCCAATGTCAGTTATAGTCAGTTATATCCCTATGTTTGCTCTGATACCATGTTAGAAACTAAGCTAGTGTAAATTTCAATTTTCATTTCTATAACGGAATTCTGTTATGATTTTCAGTTAGTTACAAAAAGAGGTGCACCTTGTTACTTATAGAGTAACAAGGTGACTGGTTACAACAGGTCACCCACCTATAGGACTGACAGATACCAGTTTATTTACATAACAACCTTGATACAATATCTACTCTAATAAGAACAAAACTTAACAAAAGGTCTCAAAGTGGTACATTTTAGTTCCATTGAAAAGGATGGAACCAAAGAGAACCGAACTGAACAGGCCATTCAGTTATATTATGTCCCGTGTGACAAAAACACAAGTATAGATGCTTCTACAGACCAAGCTAAATTGGAGCTTTAAGCAAGTTAAAAATGTAAACTCACAACAGTAAGCTGGTCAAAACAGTCGGGAAAGCTCATGTTTCTCAAAATTATTTATTCCCTAATCCTTTGGATTCATTTTTCATTTTTAGTGGGAAATGAGATAGACTCTATCATCTTCCAAGAAAAAAAAAATTGATCATGCATCTAGAAAGAAAACTAGAAAATGGCCAATTTTAATGGAGCCGGGAAACACAATCTCACGATAGCAGGCACATTACTTCTATTAAGTTGAAATTTAAGCTAGAGATAAGGGAAAGGGAGATCAGATAAAATTCCCAAAGCCTTTGTTTGCATCCAGTCATGTACCTGAAAGCTGAGTAAGCATTTTGTGTAACGTCTCCATATACCCAATCAGTATTCCAACACATACGATAAGAGATGAACCTTGACCTGAATAAGGCAATATCAATCACATAAGAATGAATTTATAATGGTAAAATCAAACTTCCAAAGCCTGTTACTGGTGTGTCTTTCAATTGAAATGACACAAGTGATTTAATAATAGAGAATAATCAATGCCTTTCTATCCTTTTGCAGCATGGCAGAGAGACAAAGCATATTGAAAAGAATTGATACAAACTTTCATGGCAATTGCTGACTCACAAAGGAAAAATCACAAAAGCAACTCGGTAAAAAGCTATTTGTTTATCATTTATGGTTGAAGGTTGCATATGACTCCATTTTTAGACAGACAAAGTTCATGTTTATCCATAAGTTTTATCATCATATACTCTCAGTTATCATCTTTTAAAATTTAACTCCAATTGAGTATGATAAAACCAAAGTTTGTGGTAAGAAAAATACCAAATCCAGATTCTGATATGGTATCACATATCCATGTAATAGTCATTGCACCACAAACCAAAAAAAAAGTCGTCAGCATTACATGTTTAAACCTGCAAAAGCAATAAACATTTAGCAAGATAAAAATATCAAACACTAAGTTCAGGCCAAGAGTTCTTCCACTATATTTACAGTTAAGAAAAAGAATGATAAACAAGCAAAGAGAATGAGATCCACATCATTATAAAACATAAAACAAGGAAATGAAATTCGGGATAGCAATTTATAATGTTAACAAAGAGCAATGTCCCTGCTATGCCCGATAATTAATAAGACTGCCTAAATACATTTGCTGGGAATACGGTATATAGAAAACCATCTTTTTAACCTTAGTGGCTTACTCATGTTATCAATTCTTTAAATCGATAGGTAAATTCTGTGTTTGTAGTTGGATTATTTAAATGTTGTTTGAAAAATAGTATTTTGAAGAATACCTATAACTAGCAGCGTAAATTGAGTATGGAAGTGAGTAGCAAGAAACTATTAGAGCTTCTATAATTGCAAAGCCCAGCGACAGCCACCAACTACAAGAACATATGAGCAGTTCATTAATCGAGATTCTTTACATCATGAATCTTGTAATAGAATTACAAAAACAATGTGCAGCCAGATATAAGCTCACAGTCTGAGATGGATAAATAGACCCACATATAACTCTTAATCTTCTCATTCCCATCCAAACCTTCTTTCCGCAACTTTACTAGAGAAGGAACAACATGACAGAATACCTGCACATGAATATCTTGTATAAAGCTCATAAAAGGCCAAAATTTTGAAAGAAAACAAGCATATACAATAAAGATGAGCACCACTGGTCTCCTATGATAGTAACCTATTTTATATTGATGCTTAATCAATAGATGAAAAAATTGAAAATCATACATAACTAAAGGAATCTAAACATCCTTTGGCCTTCAAAGTGACAGGCAGTAAAAGAAAATAACTTTAGTAGCAATTGTCTGTCTAACAAACTCAATGAACAAAAGGGTTTACCTGCATAATAATGGATGCTATTATTTGAGGACTGATTCCAAGTTGGAAAAGAGATAGCTTGAGCTCAGAGGAAAAGTCACCAAGTTCATCTGCCAGAAGCTACGTGAATGACTGTTCACATGTATGTGTATAAACTCAGGAAAAATATCCATAAAATGAATGGACTTAATAGCTGTTGAACACTAGTTCAAAGAGAGGCACTATCAAACTACTCTTTCCAACAATTTCTATTATTTCCAGAAATTCACATGGGTTTTGCTAATTTATGTGGATTTCATTCCCCTTGTAATGGGACTCATTCCTGAAGTGACGGGCTGCATAGCATCCATACTTCATATCAAATGTGGGTCTTGTGTCCAACACCGATGCATGTAGTTTACATTCAATCACTTTCATTTTTTTCAAGTTAGCAAGTACTAGTGTCATTAATGCCATGTATGGTCTCTACGTCTATGTTTGAGCTTCATAAGTGATGGGCTCACGTGAATTAATAATGAAAAGGAGTGTTAGAAAGAGTGTACTTTGCTTGCAATTCTCATGGTTCAATTTTTCTAGTCCACTACACATTCACAAACTACCATGACCTTACACCTAATTTCCAGAGCCACTAGGCCGTAGCAAACATTTCTTCTAGTGATTTTGTTTAACTCAATAGTTTCCTTTTCAAGTTTCGCACAAATTTTAACATGATTATCATTCAACTTGCAATGAGAACTCAAAAAAGGGAAACAAAACGAATGTATGTATGTAACTTACCAACAGATGAACCAGAGACAAAGCTCATATAATCCTTTGGTATCAACCTTCTATCAAATCCGGGAAGAGGAATAAAATAACCAACACGACTAATCACAATCAACACAGCAGTAACAAACAACCTCCTCCGAATCTCGCTCTTAAAAAACGCTTCAGCAGCACCATTAATAACAGAACCAAAACGCACAAAATTCAGAAACCTGTTTTTAAACGCTCTAGGTTTCAACTCTAAGGCTATCAACGATTTATCACCGCCAGTAGAACCAACAATTGCTTCAACATCATCACCGCGAGTCTCCGGAACACCTTCACTCAAAAGCGGCGTCTCGGAACGGATATAATCACTTCGGAGTCGGTCGGAGAAGTTAACGGAAATACTCCGGTTAATCGAATGTGAATTTCTTGTGAAAAGTGAAACCCTAGTTTGTACGAGTCTTCTTCCTGCGATAGAAGATGTGCTTTAATGGGAATTGCAGGAGTAATGTTTGATAGAAATGGTTTATTTTGTCTTTGGGTGTTTTATGGGAAGCGAGATAGTTGGAAAAGTGAAGTTACCTGAGAGAAGTGCGGTGGGTTTGGGTCGGAAGTTGTGCGGATGGAGGTGATAGAGAGAGAATCGCGTTGCTTCCATGGTTGGACTTCTCAGCAGTGATAGAGTGAGCGCTGAAAGTATTGAGACCAAAACGGGACTGTGTTTACATGTATATAAATGAATAATTAACAATAAATTAACAAATTATGATGATTTTGAATATCAAAATAAAATAAAAAAATTGAGTAAAAAGTTAGTATAATACTTACCTTCAAGTTATAATTAATGCTGCCCTAAGAAAATATATATATAATTAATTTTGTTTTGAGTAGGAAAACAATAGAGATTTAATTCATTCTAGTATATAAAAAATTTTAGATGAAAAAAATTGTATCATTCAAACTCTTAAGTTAACTCTCTATTCTCTGTACTAGAAGGTCAATTCCATTATAGCAAAACACGGGCTCGTTGTCTCATTGATCATTTTTATTTTTAAACAGAACAGTAGTATTGTATATGAAAATCGACTCCTAATTCTTGACAATTTTCACAATCAAACCCATCCAATCCAAATCATGATTATTGTAACAATCACGCTAAGATAAAGAAGACAACTATTAATCTTACTTTCTATAGAACTTTTGTCCTTCTAACGATAAAGCATCTTCATTCTTCGTCGTCGATTTGGTCAACTAGAGGCTACCCAGTGAGAAACAGTCTTTGTCACATAACAATATGCAAAAGGATAACAATTGAAAAATAGGTTGATGTTAGGGTTTTGATACCACTAGAAAGTGGTATTAACTCCTAACGCACACTTATGTTGGTCGTAATTGCCACCATAGTCAATCATTTAGTAGCGGAGATCCTCGTAGACAGAAGCTCTTACGATCTCATGTATCTTTGAATCTTCAAGAAATCAGGATTATATATGCAAGATCTGAAGACATATGAAGGTAAGAACCTCCTAGCATTCAATGACTCCTCAACTTAGTCGTGTGGAACCTACCGTGTGAGGATGTGATTCTTTGACAATCCCTTTGAGCCTTAATATGAAACATTTTAAAAAAGTTACAATCCTTACCCAATTTTAAAAGAAAAGCGATGTTCATAACTTACTTAAAGATATAAGAGCTATTGTGAAACGATGCCCAAAAAAATAGAGTATGATTGGTTTCTTAATTAACAAAAAAACCAAAAAGTAAAGGAAAAGATAGAAGAGAAGAGAAAGAACAATCAAAGTGATTAAAAACTGGATTCTTGATTCAATTACACAATAGGGAACAATGTTTACAATTGAATATCAACCACGTCATTTTCTCCTCTGATTAGGGTTATCAGGGATTCATGGAGTAGTGATTACTAGTATGTTATTTATAAGAAAAATAAACTCTAACTTTCAACTAACATACTAAACAATTGGCCTAAAAACTGGCTTTATTTAATATTCTAACTTAAACAACAAGCTAACAAATTTTTGCATGCAAGAATTGACTTCGATTACGACATGCACATCTCTGACTATCGTTGAACCATGAAGCTAACCTTGTCGAGGCTAAAGTTCGATCCAAATACCACAAATATCCACCTTTGAACAAAATCTGAATTCTTGACTCGAGCTACACTAACCAATCCCTAAGTCTTAACTCAGTTCAATCCAATTCCTTTAACAGCTCAGTTAACAACATTAACTAAGAGCTAATAGTCTAAACTAATTTCAAATCAACAAACTAACCAAATACCATAACAGTTCAATTAACCTTAAATGATATTAATTCAAAAAAAAACCTTGATACAATTAAAACTAATTTTAATTGATTAACATAATAACAATAATAGTTCAAGTAATGCATCAATCATAGTTCAAGCAATTCACGATCACAATCCTAACAATTCACTATCACCCTAAATGCTAACATTTTTCCAACTAACACCTAGTTCCAACATGACTAACAGTAACTCGAGTTAAACCTAACTATCACCTAACTGACTTTCCCTAATTCCTAATTTTAACTAACAACTAACATTTTCAAACACACTAACATTTACAATAGTTCATTTCAAGCTGGTTAATATTCTCTAACTCAATTCACTAATGTCATACCCCAAATTTGTCCTACATGTGTGTTGCCTTTACCTGTACATCCATCCACCAATTGTTGTTCAGAAAATCAAAAAAATGTGGTGCAAGGTTTATTCAAGGCTAGGGTTTGAGTTACATGATAGGTGTGTATGAGGATCTGATTAGGGTTTGTGTGACAAGACAAGTCAGTTGTGAATGAGTCAAGTTTTTTAGATGTGCTATATTCAAGTGTTTCATGGTTGAAGATCATCAGGATCCAGCTCATGTCCAATTGGGGTTTGGTACAGCGTTTTGGATTCTACATATCAATTTATGATTTTTGTGATTTCAAGTCATTTGGGTGCTCATCTTGGTTCATAGTGGAGGTTTTGGTTTACTGGTATTCATGTGGTCAGCTTCAAATGGATCCATTAATTCAAGGACTCGGTTTATTTCAAGTTCAAGGATGGATTCATATGTTGTTTCGTTTTCAAGGATCAATTTAAATTATTTAATTTTTAAGTGGAGAAGTCAAGAATGTGGAAGTTTGATTCTCGTTGGATGGCCAATGTTAATCATCATGATATTTTTAAATCAAAGAATTACAAGCACTGTGCGAGCAAGAGTCAATGTGCAATTAACAATTCCAAAGTCCATAAGGTCAAAATTAATTGTCCATTACACTAAACCGCATTTTCTATGACCAAAAGTTGCAAGAAAGTTCCCAAAAAAATATTGTGTTACAAAGCCCAAATTTACACCAAGTTCTTAAAAAAAAAAAGATAAATAAGAGCCCATCTCACATTCACAAAGGCCCCATGGTTTAATTTTTCAAGTCCATCTTCAATTTTACAATAAGACAAGAAATATATATAAAATAAACAGGGCCATAACACAAGACCAAGCAATGACAGAAAAAAGGCATGTCAAAGAACTAGAATTACATTGCCAAAATTGATCCCAGCCTTTTGTCTAAGCTGTAGTATGACGCCGTCAATTCCTACCTCAAGTCGAGCAATGAAAAGTTATTCCAAATCCAACCATAAAGCATAAAATGCAATCCAAAGCAAGCCATCATACATCAAATAAACCAACAGTTCCAATTGCGAAAAAACTTGCACCTTCAAACGAATACAAACATCTAACACGCGCTCACTAATTTCTTACAACACGCGCAAACCGACCTCAGCGGAGCAACACGATTCGTACGCGACTGTTACCAATTAAAAGTTCAAAAAACGACAATCACCAAGACACAAAACTCACCTGCAGAATATTCCTTAACCCCACCTTTAAATTTCTGCAAAATGACACCCTTGTTCTACTTTAAATACGCGTACCTTCCGCCAAGTTCAGGACCTCAATCCACTCCTCATACCAGTTAATAACAACAATTTTTCTTGCTTCTTCGTTCACCAAGACCACACAAAACCTTCAACCCTCAATAATCCACAACCCAGATCGCCTTTGCACAAACAAAATCTTCAACAAACCAAAAAGCCCAAAATCCAGAAATAGCGAATTAGAAAGAGAAGAAGTGGAGGACGAGAGAGGAAATCAAAACGGAAACCAAATCGAAAGCACAAAAATTCGAACTTGAAACGAGGTATCGAGCAAAAGTGATTGAACGTGAGAACAGATCGAAACAAGGATGGAGCGAGACGATGAGATGACATTGTTTTCGTTGCTTCATTTTTTTACTTCTGATGTTGGTTACATTATGTGTAAAGCTTTATGTTTTTCATTGCCATGGCCGCTGTCGGTTTTTGTTATTTCGTTTTCAAAAGGGTAGGAGGTTGAAAGCAATGATGAATAAGTTGTCTTATTCTGAGCATTTTGTTTTATCTTAGAATGTTGCCCTGGTTCTCAAGGACTTGCCACCCGTGTTGTTTCATTGAAGGGAGATCCTAGAAAACACGTTGGGCTTAGCCCACATTTGAGATTTCTTCCCTTTTTTTATTATGTAAACTATTTGATGATGATATGGGCCTCGAGCCCATCTGTTTTCTCCACATCTTCTAAGTCACCATCCCCTTGTTTTAAGTTTTTATTTTTTTTAATAATTTTTTTTAACATTTTAGTTTTAATATTTCAGTATTACTCTTTTTTTTTTTGGTGTTCTCGATTATTTTTATTACATCTTAATCCATTCATCTTATGGTTTTCAATTCATGTTAATTTTGTTTTATTTCTCATTTTCCGTTTGATTCTCATCTTTTATTTCAAACTATTGGTCGATGACGAGACCTCTAAAAATTGTTATTGGTCAAATTATTGATAAATAGCGATTTATCCGAGACCACCTTCTTTTTCTCATTTTCATTTTTCTTCCATTTTCGATTTTATTTCATTTTTTGAATCGATGAAGTCTTTCGATTCACGAACATTAGCTTTCGAGGTTGTTAACCTTCATTATGTCAAATCTATGAAAAATGATCATTTGGGTCATTTTCTCTACTTTGGGATCGTGAGAGGTTACCCTCGATTAATTAACATAAAGTTTGTGATTAAGACGAAATCCAACCTCACTTTCATTTTCATCTCGGTTTTATTTCATTTTTATCGATCAATGAAGTATTTACATTCGTAAACGTCAACTTATCAAAGTCGATAATCTTCATTATTTCAAATATGTGGAAAATGATCATTTGGATCATTTTTCTATACTTTGGGATCGTGAGAGGTTACCTTCGATTAATCGACACGAGTTTATGATTAAGACGAGATCCCACTCTCTTTGGTCCATGCGACACGATCAAATCGGAGAATGATCCTCAATATCATTTCTCTATCTTTTCTTAGCACGAATATCAATTTATGCAACCTCCTATAGTCCAACTTTCGTCATAAGTCGAGTGATGCTCAATTTTGTAAGTGCACGGATAGCGTTAGAGTAATATAAAAGATTATCGATCCCACAAAGACCAAACGTTAATCTATCGATTATTCTTGTTACGATGTTTATCTAAGGTAAGTAAAATTAGGAATTGGGTTGTGCAAAATAAAAGTAAAGTGCAAGAATAAATTCAATATTAAA